CATGACAAACTATGGCCCATAGACCAAAACTGGCTTGCCACCTGCTTTTGTCTGGCCAGTGAGCTAAGAATGACTTTTTATTATCATTATTAATAATGTTTTTTGAGGCAGGGTCTCATTTTGTCACCCAGAGTAGAGTGCAGTGGTGCAATCATGGCTCCTGCAGCCTCAGACTCCTGGGCTCTAGCAATCCTCCTGCTTCAGCCTCCTGAGTAGCTGGAACCCACAGGCATGTGCCACAAGCATGTATCATCACGTCCAGCTAACTGTTTTTATTTTTGTAAAGTCTTGCTGTTGTTGCCCAGGCTGGTCTGGAACTCCTGGCCTTCAGCAGTTCTCTGGCCTTGGCCTTCCAAAGCGTTGGGACTACAGGCCTGAGCCGCCGCACCCAGCACTTTTATTGTTTTTAAATGGTTGAAACACATCAAGAGAGGAATAATATTTTCTGACACAGGAAAATGATATGAAATTCACATTTCAGTGTCTATAAATAAGGTTTTATTGGAGCGCGGCCATGATACAAGACATACCCTCACTGCCTGTGGCTGCTTTTGAGTTACGAGGGCTGAGTCGAGTAGTTACGACAGAGATCGTATGGGCCGCAAAACCTAAGATATTTGCTGTCTGGCGCTTTACAGAAAAAGTTTGCCAGCCCTGCCCTGAACAAATAAGGGGGCAAATTCCACTTGCCCGTCCATCTGTGGAGCAGAGTCACTGAAAGGAAATACTGGAAATACTGGAAACCACATGGGTGTTTTATCAAGGATGTGAAGTTTCCTGGCAACTTTGTTGCCACATCACCATCATCATCACCATCATCATCATCATCATCATCATCATCATCATCATCTGCCCTTTAAATTTTCTGCTTGTTTAGAAAAGAAATGTGTACAGAGCCCTCAGTAGCGGCTGTAAGGGGGTGGGTTCTCGGAGCAGCTCATCCTCGACATTCTTGCCGCTGATGGAAGATTCTTGAAGATGAAGTCCCCTCTATGGGAGCAGGCTCTATCCGTCTGGCTTTAGTAGATGCCAGTTTCTGCTAAGACTAATTCCTAAAGGAGCCTCTCCTCAGTTGCCTTTTCTCCCTGTTTTCACTGGGGGAGGTAGAAGAGGAGAAAAAAGAAATTAGAGATGCTTACCTTTTTCTTTTTGCTGGCAATTTAACAGTCTTTTCAGCTGCTTTGATTCCTGTCGGGCCGTTGGTGTTGTACGTATTTCAAGATTTGCTCACAGGTCCAAAGCTTGACTTAAGCTCCCTGAGACGTATCATAAAATATGATTTGGGGAAAAACTCTAATGGGCTATGATCAGAACATTATTATTCAACAAAAGATGAAATGCTTGAGCCAAGATGGCCTTCTTTCTTTCTTTCTTTTTTTTTTAAAGGAAAGTTGAGCAGACTCCCTTCCAACAGTTTTCAATGTAGGAATTCCCACAGCCCCAAGTGATTGCAGTTTGTTGAAAAGTTTAATGTTTTTGTAGGCAATTCATAATTTCCACGTTGAACAGCCTAAGAGGAAGAGAGCTGGAGCCCACTGTTGTTTTTATAGTGGGATGGTGGTAACTTTTTTTTCCCCTCCCCTAAAAGGATATAAAACCAAGTCAGATGGTTGGGAAAACGTGGCACAGGGTTCCAGCCCTTTTGTAAATCTGAGATGCCCCCTCCTTCAGGTCTTCCTTTAGGACCTAACAGAATAGAATTTCCTGCTGCTTAATGTCTCCAGGAAGGAAAAAATTTTCCTCTAGGCTGTAATAGTACCTAATTTCCTTTTTCTTCCCTTTATTTATTTATTTTCCCTATTAATAAGGACCAATTGTAGAAGATGAAGGAAGCTGGGAAACCCATCACTTTTGGAGAAGGTTAATAGCTTCCTTTAGAAAATCCTGACATAATACTTATTTCCCCAAAAGGCACTTCATCAGCCTGAATGCCAGTTAAGATTCAAGGAACGGGCTTGGATTTGTGTGTACGAAGCGGTTCTGTGGCATCAAGTTGCACTGGGAAGGAGAGTTTGGGGCTGTCACTGTGGAGTCCCTGCAAATCAGCAGGACTAGGGCTGTCTTCCTGCACCATCTGGATTTGGTTAGCTCTCTCTGGGCAGTGGGGCCGAGTCTCATTTCCTCCAACAGTAATGTTATATAGGCAATGATCCTGAGCTGCCCTAACATAATTGAAAATTATGTGTATTGTAGGCTTGGAGCGCTGAAATGTAGGCTCATAAAAATATGTGGTGCAGGTAGCCTATGGAGATTGGATGTGGCACACAATGAAGCTTTTATGTAAAGTAAGAATTATAAGTCTCCATGTTAATATTGTATTATGCGTATGACAGTTCTTGGGTGGGTCCTCAGGGCAGGTCTGTCACCTTCAACAAAGCCCAAGTTTCCTAATTCGACAGAGCTAGTATTTGGATGTAATCAAGTCAGTTTTGCAGGTGGTCAAAGATGAAAACTTGTCCACCAATGTAGCTCTCCCCACTGAGGGACAGCTTGGGGTGTAGATGGGTTCGACTCCATTTGGCGTTTTTGTTCACGGGTTTTTATGAGATGGAGAGGTGAGTGTTCGTGGGTGTCCACTTTGGTTGGCCTCAAGGAAATGACTCTATTGAGTGGTTTTGACCAATGCAGCGCATATAGTTATGTGGTAAGTGAGAATGGGAAGAAGTCGGGGTGAGACGGGGCAGTCAGATTCCCAGAGCCCTCTGGCCTGGGTTACAGATGGAGACTCTGGAAATATTTACTTCAGTGGTTCTCAACTTGAGATGATACTGCTCCCAGAGAAGGTAATTGGAAGTGGTAAGATGGTAAGGATGACTGAGGGGTTCCTGTATTTACTGTCTGGGGGCTTGGAGTCCTAGAAATCCTTCAGTGTTTGGGACAGACTCCCCACCTAATACCCTGTGACAGATAGGACAACTCCTTCGGTACTCAGATGAAAAAGCAGAGACCACAGAAGCAAGGGGATTCGATGCAGGGTCTTGTGGCGAGTTACAGACACAGCGAGACTAATATCTAGGTTGCTCACCATGGGAGGCCTCTGGGTGAAAGCTCTGAATTTGTAGCAGACATACCCACCTTGTATAGATCCTAGACATCATGGGAAAATCAACTGTGCACTTTGGCAGGTAGTTCTTGGGCAGTGATCTTCTAGCTTTAAGTATAACCAAATTTGGTTTGAATTTGCCGAGCGGTCGTATCTTTGAGGAACTTGTCGGCTGACTTGTGGATGGCTTTGGCACTTCTGTCTCATGTGGGATTTGTGCAAACTATTCTGTATTATCCTTTCCTGTCTTTTTTCTTTCTATTGAAATTGTTCTGACCATCAAGACCTAACTCTGTGCAGCCTTCCCCAGTCTCGTGTCCCAGAAATTCTGTCATCTTTCTTGGCATTTCCTAAGTTCCTGAGTCCCTGAGTCTCTGTCACAGTGTCACCATATTCTGTCTTGATTTACCTGTGTCTGTAAGGCTCCTCATGCTGAAACAAGCTGCGTGAGAGCAGACATCTTTGTATCTCCTAATGCTTGTCACAGCCTGTACACAAAGCAAGTAGTACTCAGTTTTCATTGAGTAAAGTCTTCTATAGAATTACTATTAAAACCAACCATATATTTTGCTTGAGGAGGTCTCCAAAATGACCAAGGTGTCTCCTTATATCCCCTCCAAGCATTCATTAACTGATGGATTAGTGAGTTGGCTGTGGGAAACATAAAGGCTCGTCTCCATGTGCTTCTAAGCATTGTGTCTAAGTTCCATTTGGTTTCCTGAGTGAAACTGTCGTAATGTTACCAACGGAAGTTAAATGCCTAAGAGTTTCTTATACATGGGCTGAGTACCCCTGTGACTGGGGAAGCCACCTCACCTCATTTTACCTTGTCTGCAAAATGAGGAACTGGGGCAACTCATCCTTCAAATCTCACTGAAAGCTAATGGATTGCTTTTGACAGAAGTAGCTCCCTTGGGCCGTATATTCATTTCCTAGTTTGGAGGAAGGTGGGGACAGACAGAATTGACTTACACCTTTATTTTATTTTATTTTATTTTTGAGACGGAGTCTTGCTCTGTCGCCCGGGCTGGAGTGCAGTAGCCGGATCTCAGCTCACTGCAAGCTCCGCCTCCCGGGTTTACGCCATTCTCCTGCCTCAGCCTCCCGAGTAGCGGGGACTACAGGCACCCACCACCTCGCCCGGCTAGTTTTTTGTGTTTTTAGTAGAGACGGGGTTTCACCGTGTTAGCCAGGATGGTCTCGATCTCCTGACCTGGTGATCCGCCCGTCTCGGCCTCCCAAAGTGCTGGGATTACAGGCTTGAGCCACCGCGTCCGGCCTACCTTTATTTTTATGTCTACGGTAAACCCGTGCATACTAAAGCATTCCTCTGGTCTTTTGAGGTGAGATACATTGTGTCTGGCACCGTGCATCTTTTACCAAGAAGTAATTTTTGTTGAGTAAACTTGGGTTGTGTGAGGAACTGCATGCTCACCGTACTCAAATAGCTTTTGCTACCTAAAGGATAGCTGCTCACATGTACTTGACTTCCTTTAAAGTGAAGGATGATGACATTTGAAAAACAGAGGTTGAGAAGGAGCAGATTTGGAATTGATGGTTTCCTAGGACACTTCTGGCTTGAGATTTGTGTTTTACTTCCTTTGGAATAGCTCTGTATTCCTCTCCCTCCCCACCTCTCCCACTGCCCTCCACCCCCCACCCAATTAAGGTAGTAGCAATGAAATCATTTTTTTCTGAAGCTACCCTGTAGTTTGAATGCAAAGATAAAAAATACAGTTGCTAGTAACATTAATCTTCTATATGTGTACCTGTTGAACTTGAGCTCTAAGGAAGAACCTATTGGTATCGCATGCTTTTTTTTTTAAAAAATGATTATTTGTATGTTTGCATGTTTTTTAGTTTCTGACCCGTGTCACAGTTATTTCTTGGGCTAACTGTTCTGCGTTTACTTTCTGAATTCATTGTTTTCCATTTCACTTTTGTTTCCTCTCGCCAGTATCTCCAGATGAAATGGCCACTGCTTGATGTCCAGGCAGGGAGCCTGCAGAGTAGACAAGCCCTCAAGGATGCCCGGTCCCCATCGCCGGCACACATTGTCGTAAGTAACCTCCCAGAGATGATGGCTTCCTTTATTGAGGGGGTGAAAAAGAAAATGCTTTTTTGATGATAACAGGCCTTATTTGTCATTTTTCTCTTTCTTTAAACAAAATTTCTTTGGAAATATTCTTGGATATAGCTTATGTCTATAAGGTATTCGTTTTCTGCTATTGGACCTTAATGACTGTAACCTACCCAGAAATTTTACAAACCTTTCCTCCACTCTTTTCCATGTATTTGGTTAGAATCTAGCCTTGCGGGCTCTAGTTTATGGGACACAATCACCATGGTATGGAGGAGACTAGAAGTGGTATCAAAGCAGTTATAAAAATACATTCAGGGGAGGTGAGGTGAAGAAGAGGGAATTAGGAAACTCAGAAGGGGGTCTTGGATTTGAAACTTGCCTATTATCCTCTCCCCCAATTTATCTTAATATTTGTTGGTAACATTCTACACTAACATTAGACAAATGTCATCTGGGCTGGCTTGATTTGTAAACCTAGAGTAGAAATGAACTCAGAAAGGCTAAAATGGAATTTAATCTATACATCTATGACTTTGAAAGTATGTGGGTTCGATAGAGAAAACATTTGTTTTTAGTACTAAGAGACTACAAGTGTATGTCTACATATATTTTTAATGTATTTTCTTAGAGCTTTGTAGGCTCTAAGAGTGGAATTTATAAATTAACCTCTTGAGAAGATGGCTCAGCCTTATTTGAAGATTCCCTTCTATATATCATGAGCTGGACTTCATGCTTTTGAAATAATTAATGGAAGGCACATTTTTATAATGAACCCATCCATGACAGGTAGAATTATGCAAAGCATGAATCAATCATGTATTTTTCATTGAAGTATCACAAGATGTTAATCATAAATACATCTTACCTCTATATTGTAATTTCTAAAAATTGCAAAACAAGTTTCTTAAGTAGAAAAATCTTAAGATGCATTCTGCCATTTTGGGCTAACTGCCTCCTTATTTTGGAGCTTGCTGTAACTGAACATGTGTTATTTAATGAGTTATACCTCTCTCATATGTGTGTGTATATATCACAAAATAACTTATTTTTGTAAAACCACATTTTGAGTCATCATTTGTGACAATGTCTTCTTTTCTATGGTATAAACGAGGCATGTAGAAAGAAGATTGACATTTGCTAGAAGCTTCCCCTTTCTTCCAACTCCACAATAAAATGGATGCTCATAATTATGTCTGCTCCTATAAGGTCAAGAGTTCAGGGCCGGAAGTGACCTTAGATCATTTAGGCCCAACGTGCCCTCAGAAAAGGAAACTGAGGCCCAGAGATGCCTTAAGTGAATTGCCCAATGTCACACGCTGAGTCAGTGGCCAGAGCAAGGCCTGGATCCAGTTCTCTGCTCCCTTTCTAGAGCCTTGTGGTGTCTTCTCTCCTACGGGAGGTGAAAGTAACTTGCTGTGGTTGGTTCTGTTTTGCTGACTGTAAATTGAGTCATGGTCAGGGACAGTGCATAGGTGTAAAGAAGTTGCTGGTTGGGGGTTCTAATGCAGGTTTCTTTGAAAGTGAATGCCCTGTTAAAAAAAATTCATAACAAACATAGAGATTTTTTTAAAAAGCGTGACAGTTCTAGACACCTAGAGAATAAAGTGAAGAAGCCTGTTTCACTTTTCCCGCCTCCCTGAATTTCCCAGCGTGGTCCAGGCTGTGAAATTTATTTCTCTGCTTTTGGCAATGGTTGATGGGAATTTCCCACATTTATTTTTTAGCTACAGAGAAAGGACATTATCTTTAAAATCTCTTCGTTGTTTTCTCTGTTTGAGTGAGGAGAGAATATGCGAATCCTGGCAGTAGTTCAGAGTGGACACAGCCCCTGTGTTTGTGGCACAGGCTCTGTGGGCCCCATGCCAGGGGGCATTACCCCCGTGCAAGAGTGGGGATTCGTCCATTTGGATAGAGCAATGATTCTCCACCCCAAATTCCGTAAGAACAGTTGCCGCAACTTAGGCCCTAAGCATCTCATTTTCCTATATAGAAGTTAATGATCTGGAGGAGATGACAAAACATTCCTTCCAGAGCCTGTGTGGATTTTGGCCAGGGGTACAGCAAGGGGGCTTAGGCCCCTTTTTCCTTTGCTGTGTCTTAGCAGGTGTGTTGACCCACAGCAGCTCCCCTGGGACATACACACCATCTTGTAGTTGAAGACCTTTGTCCAAAGCAGCCACAGCTGGCAACTGTCCTACAATCTTTTGTGCTTTCTGCTGTGCTAAAGGGACCTGGGAATGGCCATTGCCTAGAGGGGATGGGCTGGTGGAGGAAGGTGGGCTCTGGGAGCTGGGGTGAAGGGAAAAGCCATGAACTTGGACAAAAGGACAAATGTGGTTTACCGTTGTGAAATACTTGAATGCTTGTCATGAATGGCGACTTTGGTTCTATCAGTCAGCCCTGTGATGGGGCTTTTCTGCAGTCTTCACCTGACACCAGGGGTGAGGAGGAGGATGTCTGGGGAGGAGGAATTATTTGAGGGAGATAGGAAAGTAGAGTGGAAGAAAGGCCGTGTGTTGTTGACCTCCATCCACCTGGTCACCTCTAGTTTTGGGGATTGAGGATGCATACACCTTGAGACTACAGATTTATGATTATATTTTTGCTGAATGTAAGGCAATGTGCCAACCAAAACCAGCTGTACCTTGGCTGGTATGGTGTGTCTGTGTTTGTAAAGGGCGCATTCTGAATGGTGGCTGATACGTCATTTGGGTCTTTGTAGAGTCAAACATCAGCCGGAGGGTCTGGTTCTTGTTTGGAGTCGCTGATGAAGCACTAACTTTTCTGCAGACACTTGGGGCTCTTGCCCACACTTTGCTTTTCATTCTTTTTAGTAAGACATTGTCACATCGCAGTGTTTCATCAGACATGTTTCAAAATAATTGTCTAAGGATTGCTTCCTAATTTCTCTGAAATTTGGAATTGTTGTAACTTTTGGGCCAAGCTATTTCATAATTATTTCTACTGTCTTGCTTGGAGAATTAGGGATGTATTCAGTGTTTATTATTAATCATTCGAAACTACAACTTTCACAGATTGCTAAGAAGAATAACTTTTGCTAGTACCCATTTGGGGCAGAATCTTCACGTGGGGATTGAGAGCATTTCGCTGGACTACTTTAATCTGATTGGATTATTTTCATGTGGTATGTGGGCTACCACATTAGAAAAAATTGATGTGTAGAATAAATGTTCTTAACAAGTGGAGGTCAACTTATCAAATGATATTTCAATTAAGAATAGACTCCACAAATTTTAGTTCCTGTAGCTGATACAGCATCTCGTTTGTTACAATCCAGTGATTCCTAATCTGTGTTCAGAGGAGAGAGGAAATTGATTCCAACAGGGATGATGTCTTCACTGGCTGGCCCCAAACTGGGAGTTTATACAAGGCATTAGTCTTTGCGTTCCTCCTCCCCGCCTTCCCTCTCCCTTCTTCCCTCCCCACATCCCCCAACAAATTCATGGACTTCTTAACAACTCGGAGACATTAGCCACAAGTTCCAAGATACCCCCACCCCCCAGCCTCCCCAGTCCTAGTTTTGCATTCACGTAACTAAGCTCTTTTTCTTTCTTGGTGGAGTTTTGAAATTTATATTTTTAATTTTTTGCTGCCTTTTTCCCTCTTACAAAATGAGTGCCAAGCAGCTAATTTGTGCTGAGTGGTAGAGTTTGAGTCAGTCTTGGCTGGTAAGCTGTGGGGTTAGAAGCCGCTCCCTGGATACCACCTCTGGTGTCTTTGCTATACAAAGACTTTCATTTAGCCTCCTTTGTATCCAGCAAAAAAAGATTCTGTACCCCAAATGGTGGTATTTTGGTATAGTATATGTCTTACAAAATGGCAAAAGGCTTCAAAAGTTCCTACAGTTTTATCTTGGGGGTTTCCTTTTGAAGTCGATGTAGAATTTTACCTAGGGGTGGATTTTTTGCGCTTCTTGGTCTGGTGTGTTTTGTTGTGTAATGAGCATGGAGGTGTGGGATAAGAAAGCAGACTGAATCCTGAGGAACAAAGCCTGCCAGACTGTGGTGGGGTACTTTTCTTGTTGTTATTGCTTAAATGCTGCAAGAGAGTGGAAAACTCTTACGAAATAATGCACGATGGGTAGAGCTTCAGAGAAAGTCTCTGCCATCTACCCTGTGCATTTTCAAGGAAGCTCAGAGGGCATGCTGAACCTTTGCTTTTTGTTTCTGAAGAGTTCACGGGAGCCTACCCATAATTAATTTTTTAAAACGCTACCTAGAGAGCACCCTCTTGGTTATTAAACACATGTGTTGTTTCGATGGGATGTTTGACCTGGATTCTGGATGCTTGCTGGGATGTGGCATGTGTTGGGAGGCTCTCTGCTGCCTGCTGAGCACCAGCAAAGTCACGGTGGCCCCTACCTCTGCGGGAGGCCCTGCGCCAGGTGCCCTCAAAGAGTAGAGGGCCCATGAGGCTATGACCAGGGGGACCTGATTTCAGCTGAGAAGTTGGTGGGGATTACAGGCCTGGGCGGCTCCCTGAGGAAATTGCATTAAAAGTGAGATCTGAAGACTTGATTGGGGTTGGCCCCATGAAGGAACAGGAGAAGGGCTGGGGAGTGTGCAGAAGCAAACACATGTATGAAAGTCCTCAAGGGAAAAGTGCTTGGTTTGGACAGAGGCAGGAAATCAGGTAGGAGGCTAGAGGTTGGGCAGGGCTCCGGGAGAGTGACGTGGGGTGCAGCATATGGTGAGGATTTGACACTGGGGAGTCACTTGAGCAGGTTGGCTGTTTCAATAGGAGCGTGTGTTAAGCTGGCAGCGGGGATGGTGAAAATAGAGATGTGGAGGAAACAGCAGCGGAGCTTGCTGATAGGTTAGATATTGGCATTGAGGGAGAAAGGAGAGTCAAAGGTAGGTAGCTGGAGACACTTCACTGAATGGGGAGTATTGGAGGAAGAGCAGGTTTGGGGTGGAAGCGTTGTCTTTTTGGAGAGATTGCATTTGCCATTGATT